GGGGGGGGGGGGGGGGGGGGGGGTGGCCCACTGGCCCGGGCCTAGAGGGGGCCCAGAGACAGAATATGACTTTAGAGATCCAAGTCTGGATCACATCTGATGAGAGCTGGAGAATGTGGGCCCTCGCCTGTTGAGTATGGTGCATGTAGATTATAAAGGGGGGTCCCCACCCCCGAGTAGATTATATAGTAGGCTGCCCCAGTCATTGTTGACTCATGGTTGCTAAAAACTTTACAAGACCAACTGATTTTAGGGACATAGTGGGTGTATAATATTGAATAAAATGTTGTGCTACATGACTGGCTTTATTTTCATTCTTACATTTAACTTTATGACATTTATGACATACAAGTTGATCGCCGATATTGTCTCCAAGTGTATTCTGGGTAAAACACGTCACCAACCATCCACGTCATCATCAGTCACTTAGGAACGGATTGTAAACTAGGTAGATCGGAGTATTTTTACGACAAATATGAGTGGCTTTTATAAAATTATGTTTTCATAAGCTTTGTTATTTTGGGAATAAGGGGCCCGGTCGTTAGCCCCACCCCCTGGCTCGACGCCGACTTGTTCCGCCACTGGCTGAGTCCAACGCAGTTCCTGCAATCTTATCATGATGCTCAGGAGGAGCATGGCAAATACCACAATCAGACAGTGAGGAAGCGCCATGGATGAAACCACAAAGAAAGAAATAAACTTGTAAAAGCACACAGTATGATCCTGCTGGACAGTACACAGAGCAAAACAATTGTGAAGTCTAAATGACCCCATCACTTAAAACCGTGGGAGGGTTGACCAGTCAGACCAGGAGCAGAGAAATGTAATCTGTGTGTCAAATGGAGGAAATCTAAACATTTTTATATTACCACCTTAAAACAATACATGTGCTTGAATACCAGCAATACAGCTGACTACAAGTTCCAGACAACACTGGGAAGAAAAGGCAGGATTTGACACAGGCATCTGTTACATTAATGTTATTGTGTTCCTATATAGATATATTTTTCATTTGTGTATTTAACTTTGATTTAACCAGGTAGTCACTATATGCAGCAACATAATCTCAATCATTGCCGGCAATAATAGGCATAATCTTAATGGTGACTACCTGGTTAAATCAAAGTTAAATAAATAAATGAAAAATAAACATGATAACTTTAATGTAAATGATGCCTGAATCAAATCCTGCCTTTTCTTCCCAGTGTTGTGCCTGGAACTTGTAGTCAGCTGTATTGCTGGTATTCAAGCACATGTATTGTTTTAAGGTGGCAATACAAAATGCTTGTATCTCCTCCATTCCACACACGTTAAATTTCTCTGCTCCTGGTCTGACTGGTCAACCTTCCCACAGTCTTAACAGATGGGGTCATTTAAACCGCACAAATTTTTTACTGTGCATGATCCGGCTTGGTCTCAGTGTGCAGTTTTGCAAGGTTTATTCTATGTGGTTTCAGAAAGACAGACCATCAGACCACCTCACAGCACTTCCTCGCCGTGACATCTGCCATTTTTCTTGAGCATTGCGCTAAGACTGCAGGAGGCGGGAGGGTTAAGAAACGTGGTCCACTGGACTGAGAGCGTTACCCCATGTGCGACCCAGCAGAGGTCATGCCGATCCTGTGTGGACGTTTTCCCCTCGTTTTCCCATTGTCTGACAGTGATACATGCCGCCGCCCTAAGACTGCAGGAGGTTAGACCTGATCCAAGTCCAGGTAATTAATGTTTTTGGACCTGCCTTTATAGTGAGTTCTTTCCTTGCGCTCTTTGCCCTGCTGCCTCCCACTGGCTCTGTTTTAACGTAGGCCAGTTACAACATCAAGCATTACCGCGGTTAGGTGGTACACTGCAGATCTCTATCATAAGCCAAATTTCTGTTGTTTCTACTGTATACTGTACATCACACATTCCTAGTAGCAGTTGACTGGATAAGATAAAAGTGAATCAAAGCTGATCAGTAAAATTGTTCTCCAATATGCATTTTGTTTAAATTAGCAAGAATTTTCTCTGGAATGTTCCCTGTAGCTCTCTGCTTGACTCCCACATGAAAAACACTAAAGTTGTCACATCGCTCAGTTGAGACAGAACTGCAGAAAAATTTTAAAGACATCTCACCAGGAAGTAAAATTCCAGAAGAAATGCATTCAAAGACACGTCTCAGTGCATCACCGGGGCTGAGAGGGGCCGAGGCGCTGTTTATAGCCTTCTCAACCAGTAGCTCCATTGCCTGCATGAAGACAACAATAAAAACAATTTATGGGATTGGAAAGAGAATGTGTGTTTGGTGGTTTTATGTAGAAAGTACTCAGTTGTGGCTGTGGAAGCTGCCAGTCAGCAACTATATGCAGTGGGCAGGGTTCCTTCAACTTTTTAGCATAATAAAATGAATTTTACTGCATTGTTTAATAACTAGGATCCAATTAAAATGAAAGCAATCCAGTTGGAATCCGTAGATTTCTGGGCATAATCTACAGTTATTGTGAATAGGCCCCATGAAAAAACTAAATTGAATTGAAATTGACAAAACACCCAGCTTCATTCATTCAAGGTTATAACTTGTATTTTATTAGAGAAAACAGGAAAGCTGAACAGAATTCAGAAAAGTAGTGCCACAACAATCCACTGTCGTGGCATTTTATTAACATAAAATAATTAATATTTTGCTTTTATGTTATAAGATATTGTCTCGTAAATGTAGCCTCTACTCTTAAATAAAGGTCACTAAGTTTTAAGGTTATACAAATTTGAATAGTGATCCGCCTGGTTAAGTTATGAACAAACTAATTGACCGTTTCCTGACCTGAAGATACAAGCAGTCATGTCACTCCAATAGAACCTGTTTGCTTTTTAGATTTTTTTAGCCTTTCTTCATATTATAGAACACATCATATTCCGATCTAAGTTACAAAAACGAAAATACACAAAAAAGTCACTAACGTTGACAAGTCACACAGTATGAACTATTATCCAGGGAATAAAAATTAAACGGTGAAGAACCTTCCAAGTAGAGGTCAGTCTATCAAATTGAATCTAAGAGCTTATTGAGGACTGATCCACTGAAGAACATCTAAACAATGCAGGACTCTCTGTCAGTTTTAAAGGGACAGTGTTATATGACACGTGATGCCTTTTTATAGTACGATCAAGTAACTATGTCACCTTCTGTTATAAAAATGTTGTATATATCAAACTAAGTCCTCAGAAACTAAAGTGTAGCAGCTTGAATGAGAGGCAGTGCGATGCTATGCTAAAAATAAAACCTGACATCTGTATCAGATAGCCCCACGCTGCATTGTCTGTGCAGGCTAAAAAATAATTTTTTTAGCCTAATTGTAAATAGTAGAATAATATATTTTTGCTTTCTTTCTACAGGCAACATACACAGTACACTGAGTGGTGATGATGCTGGGTGACGTCAACTGATAATCCCTCTGTACTGTACAAGATTGTAACAGATATATCAAAAGAGGACAAATTGAAATCCAGACTTGGAAATAAGAGTAACAGGAGGGCTGGTCACTGAACACCATGCTCAGAACATTTATATGTTGGAACACATGCAGAACTTGTACCAGTTACTTTAAAGTAACTGGATTATTTGAATTAAACCAAAATTATAGATGAATAATTATTATATACACAGATCTGTTTATTACCATTCAGTGATTTCGAGGTGACGGATGCCCAGTTCCAACCCTTCCTCCCCAGAAACGAAGTCATTGTTTCTTCCTGAACTACATGGCTCAAATAAACAAGGTTGCAGTCCTTCATTAGAACCAGCTCCTTTTCATCACTACATCCAGCCTCTTCCTCCAAACTGCGCATACATCGCTCAAGTCTTTGCTGAAATCCTCACATCATCTTCCGCTTCTGTGTATTCAGCTTTAGTTAATCATGTTTCGACTTACCCTTATAAGACAAGACGGCACCTGATTACTATAGACTGAAACACTACTCTGAAATGTAGTGGGATTTATATCAGTCTGTAAGAAATATTCATTATTATGAGCTGTTATGTACACAAAATGAAAACATAGGAGTCCATGTTTTTAAATCATGCAAATGTTTTTTTGTCACAGAGTCTAAAGAAAGCCATTATCCTCATAAAACTTAGGCTGGCCATTGTGTTCCTGTACAATTCCACAAAGTAAGTAAATAAATAAATAACTTGGCTTGACTTGGCTTGTTTCTGGTCGATTTTTGACCGGGCCAATCAGCAAACAGAAGGAGAAGTTGTAAACAATGACTTTGATTTTCTACACCATTTTAGAATTGTAGTCTGCCTGTAGTTTTAGCAATGGCAGTGGAGGAAGTAAATGAAGCTCTTCAGTCTGTGTTGGGTTACAATATACAATTAACAACCGCCTCTTTCAGATTTGCTATTTTCTCTTTGCAGTGGGAGATGTTTGTTTACAGCACAGGCAACTTCCAGTAAGATTCATACAGTCAAACTGGCACATTACATCTGTCACAGGCAAATGTTAGTTACTGGGTAAAATTTAAAACTTCAGTAC